GTCACATTCAAAGCATCTGACTGCTGTGTAATTCAAGACAGACAACATTACACCCCCTAGGAACCAGTTGCTGGGATCAAGAATGACTACAGCAGCAGCAAGTGAGCAAAATATTGCATGGATGGTTTAAGACAACTTGTGTGAGAAAGAAAGTGAAATTCAATACTCATGATTCTTAGGGAGAACCTCAAAATAAAAATGACTGGACTTGAAGAAGGCAGCCCAGAAAATTGATAGGGAAGATCTCACAGAAGACAAGTTTGAGTTAAGAGAGGAACTGAGGAGATAAGACAGTTCCTTGGAGACGTGAAGGTCTTAACTGAAAATATGTGCCAGACTAGCTGTAATAAGAGACCAACTCAGTTAAACAAGGAATTTCATTGAATTCAAATACAATGAGAAGAGGACCATGGAAGGTGGAAATTCAGATAACACCAAAGAACAGTGTCAACAGATAAGGATGAAAGCAGATGAGATACACCAGTCAGCTGACAGAATAAATGCATAAGTAGTAAAAGATTTGCACTAACAAAAGTTCTGACTACTTAAAAGAGTATGGCTACTGACACAGGTGATTGGTGTTTGGTTCAAAGCTGCAATTTCTGTTGAATTATTTCGTTTGTTACAGTGATGACTGATCCAAAAAGTCACTGCCGACTGCCAGAGCATTGCTTGTGCAAATGATATGAGTGAGAAAGATTGAAGAAGCTTGCCTAGAAAAAGGAAAACAGCATAGAAAATGGTTATATCCTGTCAAATTGACTGAGCCGGACAAATTTCTTCCTGGTATTTAAAGAACTAAGCTGAGTAATTTCAGCATTTTAAAGATCATCTTTGTGATGTCCTTCTGTCCTATCAGTTAGCGAGTAACATGCTAAAAACCAGTCCTTCTATTTCTGAGCTCCTTATTTAAGCATTTTTGTCTTAATTATTAAACAACTTTGATAAAAAGGATAAGGTAGCTGTGTGTTCACTGTGCTAACTGCAGGACTTCACTAGCAAGAGATGAGACCATTGCTTGAATTTCTTATCTATGTTTAGAGGAGCTCTCAGATAAGCTTATTTTTAAAATCAGTATGATAAACTTTTCTCTTTCCATGTTAACATGTTTATTCCCACTGGTGGTCCAGATGCCTGCCTTAAGAACTTCATAAGAAATCTCATTTATCTTCTTTTTACCTGAAGCATGATATCCTTATGGAAGGAATGAGTTAAGTACAGCTACCATCTTTTTCTTCAATCAAAAATACTGCGATGTTGAAGCATACTCAAAGGCATCAGCCCATCAGTCTGTTTTGTTTTCAGAAGAGATTACCAATAGAGAAAGAATGAATTTCTTACCAATGAGAAAGAAAATCCATTGGAAATCAGGTCTCGGTTTGGCATCTTCACAGTTTCGTTACTGAAGACTCTGATCTTCAAAGTGGAGCCATACCTGTTGCTCTCTGTGCACAGAACATCTGTCTTAGTCTTGGCATGAGTCTCCATGGCCAGTGGTATCTCCAAAGCTGATAGCTTTAAGACTGCAGAGGCTTGTGAGGATGCGACAGTTGGAAACTTGAAACTTGTCCAAACTTTACATTGCCTAGTCTGTTGTTTTTAATGTTAACTATTTCTTACTTGGAACTATTAAAGTTGCCGAGGAACAGCTTATGTTTCTGGCTTCCTTGCCAGAAGACTCACTCTTCTTTCCCCCATCACATCACAAACTAATGCCTGGTCATGAGGGGAGGGACTGAGAGGCTCCATAGAAAAATGGCAGCCGAAACTGGATTGCCATCAATTCAGAGAGAGCAGAGAGAGCAGTCTGGTTTTGATCAGCCTCTCTCATAAGAAAACATAAAGAGGACAGGAGTATTAAGTGCATAGTACTGCTGGCATGTACATGTACAAAGACCTGGTTTCTGGAGTACATCACAACTATTACTTGCAGATTTACTTACTGAACATCTCTTCATGCCTCCTTGCTTGGCGTAGCATAATATGGTACTACCTTACCACTAAAATGACCCCCAGAGTCTACACAAAGTACCGTCCTAAAACAAATGAGGAAAGAGAAACATTTGTCTCAGAACAGAGTGATTTAAATATCTTCTTTCAAAATATGAAGTTAATAATGTCTGTTACAGCTGCATGCACCATAATATCTTAAAATTTGAAGCAGTTATGTGTTGCCAAAGTCTCAAAGAGAATGCATTGAACCGATGAATGGAGTAGCACAAACCCCTCCCTCTTTACAGAGTTAAGAGTGGGAAGCAAGTTCTTGAAGTGCTAAACTACAGTCGGAGGACCCCTGGTGGTCTAGTGATTAGGATGCGGCGCTCTCACCGCCGAGGCCCAGGTTCGATTTCCGGTCAGGGAGCTCCTCCGGGCAGATGGAGCTCGTCAGCCCTGTAAGGCCATCCATCTAAGAGAAGGTCACTCTAAACAAACCTACGTCCTGAGGACCTCGCTGCCACCGTCCGAGCTTGCTCAGCCCCGGCAGATGAACCTTAGGATTAAAGGGTGGGCTCAGTTCAGCGCACACTGCGTCTCACCTAAAAAATCCACTGCGCAGGCTCGAAGGGTAATGACCTTTCCTAAATCTTCGTTCGCGAAGACTGGCCATGATGATGATGAAACTACGGTCTGATAGCAGTAGCTGTTTCTTGCAGTTTAATTTCACTTTAATCAGCTCAATTCAAACAACTAGGTCAAATTTGGAAATGGGTTAGGAATTGAAAAAGTTTTGGTTTTTTTTTCTTTCCATACACAGGATAGACCTATGAAGGTAAAATCCACTGTTATCTAAAAGGTGAAGGCAGTGGCAACCAGAAACAATCAGTTGTCCTCTTTGTTAACAAAATGTATTTCATGGATTTTTCCAATACATTTAAAACAGATCTAATCTAAGAATTATTTTAAGTGCCATTTTCTGTATTACTGCACTTTGCATCCAAACAGAGCTCTTGGCAAACTAATTAAGTGCTACATAATAAGAAAATGTATGCAGACATTTTTAGATAAAATGTAACCATTTAGCATTAATAAGCTATAGAATCTTAACTATGAAAAATGTATTCCCTAGTTCTAAAAGGTTGCAAACAAACATTTAAATAATTGCTAATGAAGTAACAATAATCTTTTAGAAGAGATAAATATAGATGCAAAATCGGGCTTAAAACATAGGTTTTTGTTTATTTAAGTCATTATTAAAAAGAAGTAACTTTTGACAGAAATCATTCCTCCTGTAATCAAACTTAGGAGAGGCAGTAAGTAGTATGTGCTTTGAGATGCACAAGTTGGATTTCTTTTCTGAGATTTCGGTAACTAAAATATTGAGGTCTACCACAAGATTAAATAATCTGGCTTTCATTTGCAATCAGGGAAGGCAAAATAGACAGGCCTGGCAGGAGAACCATTCTGTCCTAAAAAAGGTCACGTAAGGTTCTATGTGGTAGTGACAGCGCTTGCTACCAGAGCATAGGAAAACTTCTTTAGGCTTAGACGTCTGGTGTTTCATGGTTTTTTTTTAAGTTTACTTTAAACATCTCAAAATGGAGATGAGAGAGCTACAGTAAATGCAGTTGACCTTGCTATTGCCATGTGTTGATGGTGCTGCAGTTTTTCTGAGTTCCCCTAACAGCATCTTCTTTGTGGTTTTTGTTTGTTTGTTTGTTTGCATTTTGGACCTTTATATGTCATTTGCAAGGGGCTTACTCTAAGGCTTGCCTGTTCCCCCCTCCCCCCCTCCCTCGGAGATCATGTTTAAATATTTATTTGTTGTACCCTGTGTCTGCAAGGGATAACATGCTGTGACTTCCTTGTTGTCATGGCATTAGTCTAAATAATTAGACAAAGAGTTAAGAGATCTACAGTTACTGTTAGTGTAGAACACTGAGCTCTTTTTGAACTTTAAATTCTCCTTGTTACTGATCTGTCTTGGTTTTCCATTGCTTCCCCAATCTGGACAAGTATGTGACATTATTGTCTTCATGAACTCAGTAAACTGAACTAAACATTTCCAGTCCTGATACACTTATGTACACTCATCAGAGAATTTTTCCATTTGCTTTTTATGTTACATTTAACTGCTGCTTTTTCCCCAGATGTTTCAGCAAGGGTACAGTTACTTCTGATATGTACAGCTTGGTGCCTGAATGCTTATTTTTGTCATTTGAATTTCTCATCTTTGAGGAAAATGAGAAAATACTATCTAGTAAGAGTGAGTTCTTTCAAAGCCCCTACACATTCACACTCTCAGTAAAAAGACTTGAATTACTGAAAGTAATTAAGGGCTTCCATCCTCAAAATCTTTCAAGCTTTGCGTTACAGGATGTGGGAAAGAGAGAGGGAATCAGAAAGGTGGGTGGCTCCAACAAACATTTAAGATCTGGAAGCATGCAGATTGATACCTGTATCCATCTGCAGCCTTGCATATTTCCTAATCTTTTAGGTCCTTTTTCATTGCTTTCCAGGACCTGCTTTAATGACTCTTTGAGTTCTTGTTTTTAGATAAATGAAAATCCAGAAAGAAAATATCAGTATAGGTGTTCTGATTTGCCATATAATAAACTCTGATATACTCTAAGTATCTGCCAGTACTTTGTACTGATATCTGATTATAATTTCTGTCTGTACATGATAAATGACAAATACTTCAATTAATAAACTTAACAACCTCCAAGAGGAAACAGTATTCTACTGTTGTTTATCTCCCCTTCATATAAATAATTAAATTGATCCAAATGATGTGGTTTAAATTTACATTTTACTTTCGCCCCGAAGTGCTGATTTTCCTCATATAGATATTGCTAACTTCTTGTCTAAGAAATTTTCTAAATGTTTTCATGATGTTAAGATGGGTTTCAGTCCATTAATTAATGAGTGTAAAAGAGACCTTAATTCAGGAAAACAAGTCAGTGAAGTGTGAAATACTGAGTCTTGTGTAAAAGTTGCTTTACATTATAGTTGAAGTGGCTTGAGAACAGAAGGGAGCACATAAAAAAATTAACCCAGAATTAAGTAAAAACTTTAATATTCCACATATGGAAGAATTTTTTCCACTACCAATATATTTTGTAATATAGTTAAAATAAATCTGATTATTTTATAGGAAAAACAGTATTATAATATCTAGCTTTTGCTTTTTCTTTTTAATAAACACTTAAACTTTCCCAATTTTAAATTGTGTTTCTTTTTCAGAACTCGGTTTTCATGTGTATGACAACTTAACTGAGTAGGAACAGAGCATACATTTCCTTGGTGCATCTGTATTTGTAATACTTTGCCTCTCCTTATTTGACTTCAAATACCCAACAATTAAGTCTCATTGTCCCTGTGAGAAATAGCATTACCTGGCTTTACCGAGGAAAACAGGAATTGAGAGAAAATGGTCTGAAGGAGATCAAACAGTCCCTTCCAGTACCAGAAGTAAAGGACTCCGAGTTACTGGGTACTTCCATTTTCTCAGCTGTAGAATGTTCTTTAATGTGCCAGGCAGTATCAAAAACATACGTACTTCATAAGCATACAGAAACTCTTGGCATGTTTTCTCCAACAGAATGTTTGGTTAAAAGTCTTTTAAACAAGCAATCAGTGATCTGATTGTGCCTGATGCTTAATATAGGTAGCAATTAAAAAATGGGAAACCACATAATTTTATCTTTGTCTCTAAGGTGGTAATGTTTTGGCTTCTTTCTAGTGTGACTTTCTCAACTACAACTTTGTTGCAAGTTGTCATTAGAGGCATTGCATTTCATTCTTAACCCATGTTGCAAATAGTTTTGCACTGGAAACTCCAAGACTATTGTGTATTATTTCCATATTTTGCATCACTGATTATTGTTAATACAGTCTTTGTAAACACAGTTACACATTTTATTTTAAACTCTTGCAGTCTAATCCCTGTTGTGTGCTGGCAGTTGTTTTTTCAATAAATTTGTTCATAAATGAGTTGGTGGTGAAGGGCAAGAACGATCGACCAGAACGTTAGTTTAACTTTGGTGAATCTGTAATGAGGTTCCCAGTGTTTCTTTGAGGTCAGTTTCTGTTCCCAATGTTTCTTTGAGGTCAGTTTCTGTGGGGAGTAATTGTCTTGGAGCCTGTTTCCATTCAGAAGGAAAAGAGCTTCCAAGTTAAAGTGCAGAGCCAAGGCAGGCACTGTTGGTACTCTAAAAGCCCGTGCCCGCTCTGCCTCTCGGGCTGAGGCTGTAACAATCCCCCTCCCTGAACATGGGACTGTGCGGTGACATCCCAGCGCCATCCTGTTGCTGGTGCCGCCGCGGCCCCGGGCGGTGGCGCCTCTCCTGCCCCACCGGGCCCTGCCGCTGCCGCGCCGCTCCCGGAGTGCGTTCCCAGCGGAAAAGCCCCGCTAGCGGGCGTCTGCTCCCTCCCGCCCCGCCTGCGCCTCCCGTGGGCCCCGCTCCGGCCGCAGCGCCCCCGATCGAGAGCGACAATAGCGGCTCTTCCCGACGCCCCGCGCGCTGCCCGGCGGGAGAGCGGGCGGGGCCGGGCTATGAGGAGCGGCCTCGCGCCGCTCCGCGCCATCTTGGGCCCGCGCCGGGGGCAGCGCTCCCCCTCCCTCTGCAAGATGGCGGCGGCCGGGTGAGTGACATGCCCGGTCACGTGGGCGCGGAGCCCCTCTCCCCCCGCGTTACACGCTCTCCATGGCTCAGCCGGACACACGGGCGGCGGCGGCGACGGACGGACGGACGGACGGACGGACGGACGGACGGACGGACGGACGGACGGACGGACGGACGGACGGACGGACGGACGGACGGACGGACGGACGGAGCCGCGGCGGGAGCGGGGCCGCGGCGGAGCGCGGCGCCTTCTTTGTCTGCAGCCTCGGCAAGGCGAGCGCCTTCCCTTCCCCGACCCTTCAGCGCCCTCGATAGAGGGCTCGGCTTCTTCTTCCCTGCCGGGAGAGGCGGCGAGGGCTCCTCGCTGGGGCGGCCGGGGCGGGGGCCCTTCCGCGGCCCTTTCGCCCCCGCCGGCGACACAGCGCGACCTCGGGCGAGTGGGGCCGGGTCTGGCGCGCCCCGGCCCGTGGCCGCCGGCTCTGCGGGCAGCGGGCGGGCCGGCCCCGCGGGACGGCGGGAGGTCAGGGCGGGCCGGTGGCCGCTGCCTCTCCGCCCCGCACCCCCTTCCTCTGCGGCTGCCCGGGCCGGGCCGGTGGGGCCGCGCTGCGGGGAGGGGCGGCGCGGGCAGGACCTGTGCCCCGCCGGCCCCGCGGGAGTGGGCAAGGGGGGCGGCTGGGGGGATCGGGGGGGTGGAAGGTGTCTGTCTGCTGCGTTTCTGTTCCCCCTCCGTTTCTCTCCTTTCTTCCCTCCCTCCTTCCCCTCCCCGCCCCATCTGTTACAGGCTTGCGGAACTGTAGCTGTTTGAAATTAAACGTGATCTTTACTGTACCAGCTGGGGTCTGTAATGTATCTGATAAATGAAGCTCTTCCCGTCGGTTTCAGGTCATGCAAGGAAAAGGGCAAAGCTGGGGAGGGATCTGGGCGGGGTTTCCCTTTGCTTTTCACAGTCAGGCGAGAGGAGTCTGGTTGATGTCTGCAACAGATAAAGGAGACGAGGATCATCGAAAGACCCCAGAGCCCTTTTGTCTTTCTGCTGTTTTTCCTTCTAATTTCACGTATCGCTGCTGTGTTGTCTGCCTGCTTGTTTCCCCCTTCAGAAGGGGTCGGGAGCACCAGGGCCCTGGCTGAGGTAGTAGTTTGTGCTGTTGGTCGGGTTGTGACATTGCCCGCTGTGGAGATAACTGCGCAAGCTACTGCCTTGCTAGTGCTGGTGATGATCAGCTGCAGATGAAGACAATGACAGTGGGAATCCCCTTTGTTTTCCGAGATTGCATGCTGCTGAGGTGGCAACCAATTCCTTCTCCTAGTTCTGCAGGAGGAATCTAGCCTTGGCCACAGAGACGAGTAGTGGTGTTCGACCGCATCAGTAGGATGCCACTTCTGTCACAGAGCTGGATGAGAAACCATTACTTTCACGGTGGCTGGAGGGCACCTGAATTTGGGCTGAAGAGCAAGCGTCTGCATTTCTTCTCAGACCTTATTTTTCACATGACATCCTTGAAAGAGGTGGATTTTCTGTTTTGTGAAGATGGAAATCAGTGACAGACTTGTATTTTCTATGTTCTAATATGCAAAACTTGTTTGTGTAGTATTAAGTGCTTTTGCCTGAATAGTAAAAAGTCTTAAATATTTTTCTAAGAAAAGCAAAAATATGTACTTACCATTTTCCTACACTGGTAAGAGTCCTTTTCAGTATAGTTGCCATTGTACTGCTTGGTGCTAACAGTTTTTTAGGTGAACTTCTGAGATACCTTTTCTGTATGTTTTGACTTACTGTGAAAAGCAAACCCATGAATTTGCTATTGTGAATTAACTAAAACTGCCAGTATATTTATAGTGATGGCTAAAGGTATCTTTTTCATATGAATTTTAATGTGTTGATCGTTATTATAATGGCTTAAACTTGGAATATATTAAAATGTTTACAATAAATGTGCACAACTGTCTGCTATGTTTTTAAAAATGAAAGTTAATTTTTCAGTCTTTATAAGACCTATGAACAGGTTGTGGTTAATCTGTTGAGTTTATACTGAAAGTTAAAGCTCTAGCTAAACACTTGAAATTAAGTTTGTGCCTTAGTAGTGCTTCTAATTCACAGTTCTAATGTATTTATAATATTGGGAAGAACATGGTGATGTTTAACTGTCTCTTTTAATTTTTTGAACTCTGCATGTTTAGAAGACATGCAGAGGTTCTCTTGTACATCTGCTGAATGTAAAGTGCCTTGTAGAACACAGAGAAGTTTAATCTGATGATGCTTCATTTCTGCCCTGTGCAGTGCATTATTCTGGTAATTCAAGCTCTGTCATAAACTAAACTTTTTAAAAGCTAGATGTTCTCATGCTCACTAATAAACTAACACATTAAGTATTCTTACTAGTAGAGGTTTTTTTGAAGTTAAATAGTGATCATAGTTGTTGACTGTCTGCAAATTTAAAGCATATCCTGTTTTTTTCCCAGCTTAACTGAAGGGTCAAAAAGGATGCTATAGCTGCCTGCTTTTCACATCCTAACAGCACATCTCAAGCAGAGAGAGACTCTTGAGGTTTGATCTGGAAGTTAGGATGGTATTTTCACAATCTACCTTTAGGCATCTATTTTAACTGGCCACCAGTCCCTCTCTCTTCAGTGGAGAAGGCAGAGATATATTGCTGATACAAATCACACTTTTAAGTACCTTAATATTACTTGATCTGAATTGGCCTTTCAAGGAACTTGTCTCTGTAAGTTGATTTTAAAGGAGGTGAAGGTCCTTCAGCTAAGCTAAGTGCCTGTAGGTGGGTTGCGTGAAATTGTCCTCCCTGTTGCTTTGCCTTATGCTTAGGCAACTTGGTAAGACTAGATCTTGGCTCCCTTTGTAGCTTTTGGGGTTTGAGGGAGAGAATCAATGAGAGAAAATGTGTTCAAGTATACTGCCATTAAGCACTTAGTTGCTTTATTTTCTGTGTAAATTATCTCCTGTAAATTTCACTTGCCACCTGAACAGTTAGTTCTTTGTGCTCTGGATGGTGACTTCAGAGTTCAGGAGAATGTTAAGAACCTGTACTTAAAGTAAGTAAGGTAGTGCTACTGAAATAATGCAGATGGGGGACTACTGGTGAGATGATGTGTAATGCATGAGGTGGTTTGTCCTCATGTCCACATAGGTCTCGATTATGTATTGCTTAGTAAGTTTTAGGTACGTACAAGCGAATTACTTCTTGGGGACTTGCATACAAGATGCTTAGCTCTGCTCTGGGGCTATCCATGCATTTCTTGGTTCAGAGCACTACTCAGTCTTGGATTCAGAATACAGATGTTGGTCCAGTCAAGTATCAGTCTTTACTGTTTAAGTCCGATTTCCTTAGCATACTTACATGAAGAAGGTTGCAACATCAGGCTTTGAGGCAAAAAGATTTAATTCTTCAGTGGAATGGAGAGCTTTATCTTAGTGAGGTTGTAAAAGTCAAAGCTGGTATTTCTGAATCTGTGAACACGGAAAATGGCAAGGGTAGCCCATATCTTGCAAATTCAATGATTCTTTATTGTGATGTGATTAATTAGTCGGGAAAAAAATTGCATCATGCCAATTAAAAAAGCGGTACTGCTCGCACACTGTTGTCTATGGCATTGTCTCATGCTGAAGTTTTTTCCCCTCTATTCTTCAGAGGTTTTCACACAACTTCTTGTGTAAATTTGTGTAGAAACACTAAAACAGGCACATGGCTGAGTTGATGGAATTTCTCTGCGAAGTTACTTAGTTTATAGTATCCCTATTGTGTATTGTTTGCTGTGCTGGGTGAAAGTGCTGCAAGAAATGTTCCTCTGTTGCTTTTCTGAGCACTTCTTTTGACTCACGGAATAATAAAAATGCATTGAGATTCACAGCATAGTCGATTAAGCTTTAGATGCTCTTATTCCCTGGTTTGATGTCTTTTTGCACTATTGTCTTACCTATTCTGTGAAGAACAGTCACCAGCTGCTCACCCCTCCAGCTACTGTCTGTCAATGCCGCTTCTAAAGATACTGGCATGCATCAACCTAAAATCTTAGATTCAAGATAGTTGCTTCCCTGCAGGGTGCAGTTGCCCTCTCTGTCACCAAGGAGAGTGCTGTGTTCCCGTGCTAGCAGAATTGATATTTGAGAACTTGTCTTCACTGGGAGCTGGCTTGGGTCTTCTACTTTGGTAGGTCTTGAACCATGCACATAATAATGACTGAGACCTCACGCTTTACACTGGGAAGCAGCTTGAGACAGTAAGAGGAAATACCAGTTTCTAGAGAATTACATCTGTAAATACATAAACAGTTAAAATGCATCAATGCATTAAATAAGTCATGTCTGCAGCTTTTCATTTGATATTTTCTCTGTAAGAATGAGTACTAAGTTAACATAAGGAAATGCTTACTCTACTAATTACAAATGAAAGTGGACCACATTCTTTAAATACTTTACTTGCATCTTCCACTATCCTGTGCCTAAGTGTTGCTCAATGAAATTATAAAAATTAGTTCTAGAACATTGCTTCTGGAGGAGGTTTTATATCTCGTATGTATATATGTACATGGTCTATGCCTCTAGAGAGATTCTATAGCAGAAATAGAAGTGCTATTCAAAACAGAAGTATGAATATTTGGGAAACTGGTCTTAAATATCCAGATTCCAGTTCTCTAGGATGTCTTGAATATTAGCATTCTAATATATATTTGGATCATAATTTATACAAATTTATAATTTTTTTTAGGAAAGTAGTCAATCTTTTTAGCTGAAAAACTGAGTTTTTAGCTAAGAGTCTTTTAGCCTTGCAGCTACATTAATGTACGGGCTTTGTGAACTTCTGTCCAAAATGAACATGTGTCCTGCCACTGAAGGTGTTAGATGCAAGGAGAAATATGACAGAAAAAGTTACTTTACTGGAGATTTAGTGGAATCTCTGAAGTGAAAGGCTTGCATTTAATGGAAAGGGTCAGGAGTGTTTCCTCAGACATGGAAAGTGCTACATCACAGTGAAAGCTGCTGTGTTTGCTCTGGGAAGCAAATCTGAAGACTGGAAGTGAACTCTTTCTTCTCCCTGGTCAAGACTTTACCAGCAGAAAAGGCTCTCTTACCTGGCTTTCCAGTTTCTCTTCATAAGTCTGCTTATTTCTGTTGTCTTTTATTTTCCTTGTACCTGAAGTTCTCGTTCTTGCCTTATTAGTTTGTATACCCTGCAATCCAAGCAAAACTGCTTGTATCTTCTCAGTTTGCCTGCCTGTTTTAGGCTTCTGGTGAAGTTTTGCAGTGGCTGCAACAAAGAAGTATCTTGGTGCATGACAGTAGCTACATCCGGAACTTAGTGATGGCAGTGCATCAGAACACAAATGGAAAAAAAATCCAGTCTTGCACCTTCTTTCATAAATGCTGGAAGTCTCTTGTTCTAGGCCACCTAAGAAAATAGCATCCATGATGCCTGGTTATCAGATCCCTTCCTGGTCCCTGATTACCTTATTACTGTTTTCCACCCTCTCCACACTTGACTTTTCAAGCCAGGAACTGTTTTCAGCCACTTGAAAGAAGGTTGATGTTTTTTAAAAAAATTATGTACTTCTCACTTCCGTGAAAATAGGTTTAAACATCTCATTGTTAAAGTAGTGTGATGTTTCCCAATTCCCCCTTTCACCTGAAGAGAACTTGGAGTATTCCTCATCCCATTTTGAAGGGTGCTTTGTCTATCCTCTGTTTCATCCTTTGCAAGAAGCGAGGATTTTGCTTAATATTTATTCAGCCTTGTCCCACAAAAATGAGATGAAGGA